TTATGTCCTGGCTATGTGACCCTGAGCAGGATATTTAGCATGTCTGTTTCTCGCTAGTTTTCTCATTTTAAAAAGAATGGAGACAATATTAAATACCAGATAGAGGTTTTTTTTTAAGATTTATTTATCCATACATACAAGAAGGGAGGGTGAGAAGATTCACCAGAGACGGAGCGGGGAACAGAACAGGCAGACTGACGAAATACACTGCTGAGGGGAGCAGTGGGCACCACGGGAGAAGTCTGCTGAGCCATGTGGGACCCTCACTGGCGGGCTGGGATCGAACTGGCACAGCAGAGGCTGCAGACAGCTTCACAGTGCTGCGTTCAACGACCTGTGCCACCAGGAGAGGTCCCAGATAGAGTTCTTATGAGGAAAAAATTTTAAAGATTTAATTCATACTGTTCTTTCAGTATTATATTGTTTTGCTGTCACATTCTGTACATTATAAGCAAACACATGGAAGAAAATCAATGATAGAATTAGAATATATGCAAATATGAGTTCAAATAGTTTTGTCAGACAGCCATGAGTTATTTTAATAAAAATATAGAATACAAAATATTTTAAAATTCCACCTATTAAGTATTAAAATCGAGAATTAAAATGTAGAATTTGTTTTCACACTACTATGGAAATTTTTTTATACTCACTGCCCAAATAATACGTGTGAATCATTTGCTGAAACACATCTGTGTGTGTGTGTGTTTTTAAAATATTTATTTATTCATGCATAGAAGAACTGGGATGTAGGCCAGAGTTGCAAGGGGTGAGAGGATTCACCAGAGGCAGAGTGGGGAGCAGAACAGGCAAATCTACTGAAATACACTGCTGAGGGGAGCAGTGGACAAGACAGGAGAGGTCTGCTGTACCATATGTGGGTTAGCTTCCTGGCCAGAGATCCAACAAAGGCATCATAGGTGATAGTGCTGAGACTTAACCCTTATGCACCCAGGAGTTCCTCTGTGTGTTCTTAGGTTTACATCCTAAAATGTAAAGTAAGTACCATCTGATTACTAATAATAAAATAGAGATTTTCTTAGAAATTTTTAAAATATTTCTGACCTTTTTTACTGATGCCTTCTGAAAGCCCCTTGTATCATCAGCATTATTTATTTCCAGCTATTGCAATTATCTTCCTATGTCACCAATCAATGATTCACACTAGTCTTCTAAGTTTATTTATTATAACTCTGTAGTGGCCAAAACACTAGAAAGAGGTTCTGTCTGAATTCCATATTGTGAGTCTGTATACGTACTTCCCTGGTCCAGTGCTGAATGGGACAATTTCCAATTTAATCTTTCCAGGCAGAAATTGTGCCAGAATGTAGTGGCTGGACATTATAATTCTGGTATCCCTGTGGTGCCCATTTATTATGTTTTATCAAGAGATGAAATAGCTGGGACTTTAGTCAGCATTTAGAAGCCTATGCTGGTTCTCCTATCTTCTCATTTTAACCTGAGATTTAATCTTTTAAATTTCATTTACTCATCATGTGGAAGGCACTGATGATTTTTAAAACTCAATGGTGACCCCAAAAAAGTTCTAGATTTGTATATCTTGATGTCTAAGCTGTCTATTACTCATTGTTGTTTCAGACATTTGCAGTGGCTGAGAAAGTATGGATTTATTGTGCATGATCCCAGAAGCAAGTCAATCTTGTGCTTTCCTAATATTGCTTTATGTGTGTTGATGCAAAAATAAAGACACAGAAGCACATACAAATACACATAAATGTATCTTAGGTCCTATACTTGGTTTCAGATAAACCCTGAATTTGAAATATATTTTTTTCATTCCTGAAAAAAAAGTTTTCCAAATTGAATTGCAAATTTGTGTGCTATTTTTTTAATATTTTTATTAATATTCTTATGCAAACCATTTTGCAAATATAAATTTCATTTCTCAGGGATAAAAACCTCAGAATGGAATTGCTTGATCACAGTAACATAGGCATGTAGTTAACCTTGTAAGAAACTACCCAACCATTTTCTAAAGTGGTTATACCATTCTAGTCTCTGACCAGTAATGTAGGAGAGCTACACATCATTTGCAACAGTTGGCTTTGATACAGTGTCTTGTGATTTTTATTTATGTTTCTCAAATAACAATGCTTGCTAAAATTTTATACCAGAACCTATTGTTCAGAAAACCCTTGCACCTCTGTGTCTCTGTTATACTTATTATGTTTGATTAGAAATATTTGGGATCCAATGCATCTTTTAACATATGGTTGCTAGAAGTCTTTGGTGTAGACAGTCAAGACAAATGAATAAAGTTATATCCATTTGTCACTTATTTTAAGTGCCATTAGGCACTTATTTCCACATCCAGTTCACAAGTCATATATGGTTCAGAACTCATGTTTCATTAATGTTTAAATTTAGTATTCTTATTGTTTCAAGTCCTTTTCAAAAGAAGGTGAGGTATGCATATTTTTATGCTTGCTAAACCTCAAGGAAGTTCACCAAAAAATTAAAAACAAGAGAGCTAGATATTTATAACTAGAGGGAAGAACACAGAGAAGGACTAAAATACATTGTGTTGATGAATTTCCAGAAATACTGAATCTCAAACCATATGTATGACTGGGAGGGAGAAAGGTAAATATACTTTGCTTGTTAATGGGAAGATTGGCAAAGCCATATGACCAAGGGTATGGATATAGCAATAAGAGAGATAAAGAGTTATACATTGTCTATCTTTGCAGAAAGGTATTTCTCTTTCTCACCCACAGACCACCAGTTTAGAAAATAGTGGCTGGTATATACTACAAATTCAACAGTACTTCTTGAATTAAAAAGTGATTGCATTAATTTTGCTGACACAAAGCCAATTATAATAAATGAATGTGATTATTCTTGTCCTCAATAGATATCACAAGCAACGGGAGGAAATAAGTTTATAGGTCACATAAGGGAGACTCTTTCTAGTTACTTGTAGTTTCCAGGATCTAGCACAGTGTCTGGAGTATGAGGAATATGAGGATTAATCAAAATATGAATGGATGAATGAAATAATAATGGAATGAACAAAGATAGTGCTACATGTTTACTGATAATGGAAATTCCAAGTCTTCACATTAGTTATTTAAAAAATATCATCATTTCTAGTTTTAAAAAGTCAAGCTCACATAGGTAAGAATTGTGGAGGCAGGATTTTAAAACACACTTTCTAGACCTGAGGCCATTACTCTTTTCTTTTAATAGCACATTTATGGTATTTGCAAAGGTGCAGAGATATGATTACTTAGAGAAGTGTATGGATTAAAACCAATAATAGAAAAAGTGAAGACAAGTGTATCAATTGGTTTTTGCTTCCATAACAAAAAACTTCAAATTGGGTGATTTATTTTTCTATACAAGAACTGGTGTACAGGCCAGAGATGTGGGGGGTGAGAGAATTCACCAGAGATAGATTGGGGAACAGAACAGGCAGACTGGCTGAAATACACTGCTGAGGGGAGCAGCGGGCGAGACAGGAGAGGTCTGCTTTGCCATGTGGGTTTCTCCCTGGCTGGCCTGGGATCGAACTCGTGCCACAGAGGCTATCGATTGCTTCATAGGGTAGTGCTTAACCCCTTGCACCACCAGGGAGGCCCCAGATTGGGTGTTTTAAACAAAATAAATGTATTTTCTCACAGTCCTGGAAGCTAGAAATCAAGAGCAAGGTGTGATGGCAGGTGCTGTTTCTAGTGAGAGCTCTTCAGAGCTTGCAGATGTTGCTTTCTCACTGCACTCTCATATGGCTCTTGTTCTGTGTGAACCTGGAGACTTTCAGAAAAAGAGGTGGAGGGCCTCCCCAGTGGCGCAGCAGTTGAGCGCTGGGTTGCGAAACTGCCCACAGCCTCTGCAGCACTAGTTCGATCCCCGGCTGCTCCCCGGCCACCGAAGGAGGGTCCCACATAATGCACAGACCTCTCCTGCCGCCCGCTGCTCCCCTCAGCAGTGTGCTTCGGTCCCTCTGCCTGCTCTGCTCCCCGCTCTGGCTCTGGTGAATTCTTTCACCCTCCCGTGTTTCTGACTGTTCCCAGTGCATGTATAAATAAATAAATAAATATATCTTAAAAAAAAAAAAAGAAAAAGAGGCGGAGAGAACTCTGCTCTTTCTTCCTCCTCTAATGAGGACACCAATTCTTTGGGTTTAGGTGCTCCACTTTAGAACCTCATTTAACCGTATCTCCCTAAAGACCTTATCTCTAACTATCATCTCTAACAGTGGGGCTGTTAGAGCATCAATATATGTCTTTTTGAGGGACACAGTTCAGCCCATAGCAACCACAAGCATGACTGATGGATTTTTATCACAAGAATTTTTAAGAATTTGAGGTGGATCTTTTGAACTAGATGTTTTATTTAGTGAAATGCTCAGTGTATAGTCACTGAGAATATATTCTGAATTCATTTTCCATAGCCTAACAAAATGACCATCCAATACACTATCCTTAAGCTGAGTTTTGAATGAATCTCATGTCTTTTTATTCTTTGTTAGTATATGAAAGGTACTTAAAGCTTAGAGAGTGATTTATGTGACTTACTAAAAAAGTTTTGTGTAGGGTAAGGAAAAATGTCAGGCTTTTCTGCCCTCCCACCATCAGGATAGATGATGGATCCTTGCGGTCCTGAATGCATGCCTGATGGCGGGCACCTGGAGTGGGGTGTGGGCATATGTTGATGGGATTCACCTGGGCTGAGACTGGGCTTTTAATGGTGGCATCACAGGGACGCCAGTAGAAGCTGAGAATAACAGAAGCCGAAGGAGAAGCCGAGAGAGAGAGAAGGCCAGAGAGCCCAGATAGAGTGAAGACTTTCTGGGGGCTGGGAACCCTGCCAGCCTCCTGGCCCCCCAGTACCCCTGCCTGCTATGTACCTGGCAATCCCAATAAAACCCTGCAAAACCACTGAGGACTCTTACTCCTCCTTCACCCGGTCTGCTGGATATTAGAAAACCTGCTCAGTACCCAGTCCAGCCCATATATTTTGTCTTTTTCCTTTTACAGGCCCAACAGCTGACTGAGCTGGAGCAGAAATTAGCTGCAGCCAAAAATGAGCTGGAGAAGGCAGCTCTTGATAAGGTATGTTTGCATCTGTGAACCATCACTAGTGTGGTTTTAGCACATAAAGCAAGGGTATGTTCATCTCTTCCCTTGATTTATTAAGGCATTTCCAGACACCATGCAAGTAATATGGTTATAGCGTTCATAAGTGCTTTGATAGTCCCTTTGGAGACCAATTCTTTTTTTGTTGTTATTTTTGCTGTTACAGTAAATTGACTGAAGGTTCAGGCTCTGTGAGCTCTTGGCTTCATTTTTTACCTTATTGGTACATTGCACTATAAACTTGTGAATAAACAGGCTTAAATCACCAACAAAAATACTATTATTAACTCTGGATGAATGAGCTATGTGTATATTACAAATGCATATATACATGTATAATGTATTTATAAAACTATATACATATATAGCAAATATATAATCAAAAATATTTTAATATTTAATATAGATTGGTATTTATCGTATTTGCCATTTTTGTTCTGTTTATGTTCCTATATATTTCAAAGTAAGTTTTTTAATAAAGAAAGTGTTTTGTCTCCTGTTAGTTTTTCTGTATTTGTGATAGCTTTAGCTATATCATATAGAAAAATAAATAAGATGATAGCTTTCCTTGACTTCTTTTGCAGTATGACACTATATATTAGTATATGTTTAACACTTTTATAAGAAAAGGTTTCCTCCTCACTACCAATTTGAACATGTGTCTTTTGATATAAAATAGAGGAAACATAAATGCAAAAATGATGCTTTTTTAAGTTCTTGCCTTTCTCCCTCTTATACTGCAATGGTTGTGAAGGACATGGTGACTTAGTCTCACATAGGCATTTTCTTGATTTGATATGACCAAAACCCCTTTGTTGATAACATAACTAAATTTTCATTCAGGGCATCCTGGAAGAGTTGCAGTAGAGGAATTAATAAGGACAGTTTATAATTCTAATGATAATCCACTCCTTATGGTTTAGATCTTTGGAGTAAATGTAACTTTGGAATGAATACCTAGATATTTAACAACTTTATTACTTTGTGATTACCTTATTTTATATTGAATTTAACCAAGTAAATATGATATTTAGTAGTTTTAGGGAAGCCTGCCTGTTATTTTATAGAGTAGGTCAAATACAGTTCACCTTAATAAAGTTACAGCTTTATGGGAATTTTTTTTAATTTATGAAAATTATTTACAGCAGTTTATTCTAAACTCTGACTATATTCAACATATGCTATACATTACTCTTTTTAAAAGGTCGGTTGGCCTCCCTGGTGATTCAGGGGCGGAAGTCTTAGCACTATCAAGCTGTCTCCAGCCACTGCAGCTTGCGTTCAATCCTCAGCCAGGGAGCTACCCACATGGCACAGCAGACCTCTCTAGTCTTGCCTGCTGCTCCCTTCAGCAGTGCATTTCAGTGAGTCTGCCTGTTCTGCTCCCTACTCTGTCTCTGGTGAATCCTCTCACACACACCCCCACCCCCGACACTTCTGGCCTATACTCCAGTTCTTGTACATATAAAAAAATAAAAATAAATATTTTTAAGAAATAAAAAGGTAAATGGTTCTTCATAGAATTGATGTAATAAGAAAAGCAGAGGTACCTAATAATTTTAAAGTTCAACAGACCACCTGTTTTTTCAGTCCTTTCTGATACATTCTCTGTAATTTGCTTTAAGTTCTAGAAAGAAATTAAATTCCCATGATCCTGAAGGAGCCCTCCTCTGACTTTTTAACATCTCTGACTGGTAGAATAGTCTTCCTTACTTTAAATCTTTTCCCTGATTTATCTACAAATCACCCATTTTGTCAGTCAATGGCTAAATAAATTTGAAATACCACATGTGCACTTGGTAAACAGCAAACACTCATCATACATGGTCTTGGGTTCCCCAGAGCTCACAATTTTGCTGAATACCAAAAATTAGAATATGATTGTATGCTGAACCAGGAGGCAATAAAAGTTGAGAAAATAAATATAGTTTAAATAATTGTGGTTTATATGGACTGGTATAGTCACATAATATTTTATTGGTGAGCTGCACTTTGATCTCAGTCTCAGATCTCAGAGTTAATATAGAATTATTCCTCTTACCCCAATTTTCTCCTCCCCAATTCTGTCACTTCCCCCACTACCACTAATATGTCTCATGTCCACATCATGTCCATAGTCTGAACTTAGGAAGAGAGGCTTAATATTGCAGTGGTTAAATAAAGGTCCCCTGATCCATTCGCCCTGGATCAAAAATGCTGCCTATTCTACTGAATCCATCAAACTCTATGCTTCAGTGTCAGGTGGAATAATAAGACATCTTACTTTCTAAGGGTGACGAGATAATTATTTGCATCAAAAAAAAAAATAAAGAACTAGAATAATTCTTGACAAACACCTAGTAAGCATAATCATTGTTATTACCAGTGATCAAAATCAAAGAGGAGGACTCTCTTGGATGATGATTTCACTCTTTCAGCTTTGGGATCTCGCCACTCCTTTTGGTACAGTGAACTATAAATCATTTCATATTACTGAAGTTTGATTTCAACCAATCTCATGTAAGATATGTGTGAGAGTCACAAACTGGACTCATAAAGTCAGGTAGAATGCTAGCTCACTTCAAAATGAATAAAAACTATAGTTTAATAAAACTGCTCTTCCCCTCACTCCATCATCTTTAGACTTTTTTAACTCTCTTCAGGTGTCTATTGTGTAAGAATGTTGAATGCGGGCTTCAAATTACTTTAAATACCTCATAAATATTATGAAAACAACATCTTTATACTCCAACTTGATACTGGCATATTTGATAAGAGGAGTCTCAGTCTAGTATCCCAATATAAACAATCATCTCAAGAATCAACCTTAGTTTTTGCAAAATTAAATTATTTAATTAAATTAATTTAATTGAAGGACAGCTTATGAACTAGAACTCTTTGTCACACTGTATCTGGCTTTTAACAGAAGCATAATAAATAGTTCTTGATTGAATAGACAAGTGAATGTCTACGTTTCTAAATTAATGAACATGCTATTATTCATCTTCATAAAAGGGATCTAGACATAGCCTGTAGCAGAAAGTCAAACTTATTTAATGACTTTCCAGGATTCAGAGAGCTTTTTTCATGTGAGAAGTAAAGTCGAGGAGAGAGTCTTTATATTCATAGCCCCTTGTGGTCTTCCCCAAGCCAACAGCTAATATTTCTTCCACATCTTTCTGAGCACTTTGTATCTTCATGTAAATGAATTAGATAGACATGAATAATATTGTGCAGATTTTATTTGTCAGGAGAGGAGAAATTATGGATACAATTGTCTTTGCAAGCTACATCTTGTTCCCACAAAAAAGCAATTATTTGAGAAAAGAATTCATACAAACACATAAAAATAGCTTTCTAAGTCCCCACAATTTTAAGGATATATAATAATTTCCTATAAGCTTTACATGTTCTAAAGCACAGGCAAGAATCAACCTTAGTTTATGCAAAATTGAATTATTTAATTAAATTAATTGAAGGACAGCTTATGAATAAGAAGAAATCTTTTGTCACCCTTTTGTCATTCTTTTCATATGGAAAATACAGAATAAAATGAGAAATAGCTCATTAATTTCCCATGTAAATTAGTACCAGCCCATAACATCTACAGGGTTTACTTCAAAAATATTTGTTGAGCTAGAAAGTGGTGACATTGCAGAAAAGGCAGCAGCCCTCAAAGGAATTACGTTCTAATAAAAAAATAGATAAATAGTATAGATATGAACAATAAGATAATTGGCAATGTAAGTGTCAAAAAAGAGATAAAAATAGAATATGTGATAGAGGCTTTAAAAGAGAGAGAAAGAATTATCTGGGACTAAGTTTTCAAGAAGATAAGATGTTAGCAGAGACATAAACTATAAATGAAATTTTCCTATGTGCATATTTGGGAAAAAAATAACAGCTCTTCTGGCAGAGGACACAGCAAATTATAAAGGCTCGAAGATGAGAATGAACTTGGAATATTTGATGGGCTAATATAAAGGGCATTGTGACAAATGATCTTATTAAGGAGTTTGCATTTTAGTATCACATGTGAAAGCAAGTGAAAGAAGTGCCTTGTTTTGGGGAGTAGAGGCAAAAATAAGACTGACTTACTTTACAAGGGACAGCTTGTAAGATCTAGAGAAAATAGACTTTATATGGCTTACAACAAATTTCATTAGGTGATATCTTGTTCCAGACTACTTCCAAGCAGTATCTATTTTCAAAGTAGACTACAGTTAGGATTTTAAATGAAAAAGTAATGATTTGTAGTATAAAATCATTATCTGCATCCTGTTCAAGGAAATGGGTCAAACAAACAGAGGAGCAATGTCACAAACAGACACCATTGTTAAGGAGCTTGGCAGGGAACCAACCAGTTTAGGGTGGGTTTGCTCACAGCCATCTGTGATCCATAACAGGAAAATTTACAACATAGTCGAAGAATGGAGCTAGAATTTAAGGTAGGAGGCTAAGTCTCAGGTTTGTGGCCCAAAAATGAAATGAAATGAGAAAGCAAGATATTAAGAATATGTTGAAACATAAGCAAAGATACCTTACTTCTATGGCTGAGAAAGAAAAGTTGTATGTTGGATTTTTATGATTCTGTTATATGAGATATAGAAGATGAGATGATTGCACCAAAGTTCAGAAAATTGAAAATAAAGCATATATGCACATCTCCATTAATTGTTTCATTGGAGAATGTGTCTTTCATAAAGCAGTATTTACTGAAAGTTAATGTTTGAAACTATTGATGGTGTTTATTATTTCCAGCATCCAAGTCTACTCATTACTCAGACATTTATTTATTATAGCAACATATAGCTTAAGCCTATTATATATCCAACATTAATGTATGTGCATGCACACACATGGGTATATGTTAAGAGGAGCCAAGATATGAACATAGTTAATAGAATAGTCATCACTACTTCCTGCGTGACGTGAACATTTAAAGTCTATATTTCAAAATCACATTAGCTTTGAGTACTGGTACCTGGAGATATTTTATTAGTTCTCAGCTTTATATCATATTTTTTTCCTTATTGACATTTAAAAATATATTTAGCTTTGAGGAAAGCATATTTAGAATAGAAGTTAGAGATGGATATCTATGTTGGGACAGTCTGACTTATGATTTATTTTTTTTTTAAGATTTATTTATTTATTTATACAAGCACTGGGTACAGTCAGAAGTGTGGGAGGGTGAGAGAACTCACCAGAGCCAGAGCAGAGAGAAGAGCAGGCAGAAGGACGGAAGTACACTGCTGAGGAGAGCAGCAGGCACCATGTGGGACCCTCCTCCGGTGGCCGGGGAGCAGCCGGGGATCAAACCGGCGCTGCAGAGGCTGCGGGCAGCCTTGCAACCCAGCGCTCAACCGCTGCGCCACTGGGGAGGCCCTGACTAAGGATTTAAACCAGAAAAAAAAAACCATCTGTAAACCTTGAAATTCTTTTTTCTTCATTGAAAAATTGTAATTATAATACCTTTTTCCCTCATGCTTGAAAACATAGTTATTACCTGCTTGCAAAAGTTTTTGACTATTGTGATATTGTATGCTCATATAAGAAAATGTTAATATTATCTTTTATAATCATATTTGATTAACACCTACCGCTTAACAAGTCCCAGGTGAAATAAGAATTTTATCAGAAACAAAATGGTGTTAGAGGTAATACAAGCTAACCTGAGACACACAGGAACCTACAGTGTTAGGGGAATCACTTGAACTAAAGGAGCTTGACGCTAATAGAAAAATGGCAGGCTTCCCAAAAGGACAATTTCTATTCAGAGTGACCCAATCTAGAATGAATTTCCTTGTCAGCAAACTCATGATTGAAATCATGTCAATTCAAAGAGAAAAAGTAAGATATGTCTCTGATTTTCAGTTCAAAATATATCATAAAACATTTGCTCCAAAAAACAAACCTGCAGGTGTATTAAATAGCATATGATAATAGAATTTATAAATCAGACCTTTATGTTGGAGAATGACATGTATCTGCATAGGGAATGAGTGTCAGCTAGGAGGAGGAAGAATTCAATTAGATAAATGATGACCAAATTCACATGTAAAAATTGTGAACTTTTTTTTTGTAGGAGTCACAGATGAAAGCAATGAAAGAGATGATACATCTCTGCCTGTCAACTGTTCTCCATAATCCACCTTCTCCTTATAGTTTAAGCAAGCTAAGTTCAACTCACGTAGGAGATCCATACAGGGAAATGGACTCTGCAATTCAAGAAGCAAACACACGTGAGCCGGTATGTTTTATTTGTGCTTTGGAAAGTCATGTAATGTACTTTCTTTTTATTTCATGTAATATGATCATCAGAGTGGATGGAGAGAGGATATTAAATTCATCAAAAATTAGCAAGTAAATGGAAGAGAGTGACCAAGTTTGTAAAGTCGCCATCATCATTTGGAAAATGTTGAAGACAGCTTTTCTTTAGTAATTGTGAAATAATAGTAATGATAATAATAATATGAATAACACTTATAGAATGTTAAAAGAAAATTTCTGATACTATATCACAGTATATACCAGAAGTTTGATATGAAGCATAGTGTATAACTAATATCCTTACAATATTGTATGCTTTTTTTTATTATTAAGTCTGTTGTTCTCTACACAACATACACGTTAGAGTCACTTAGGATATTTATTAAAAATGCTGATATTTGGATTAAATCAAAATTCTTCTGACCAGTTATCAGTAATTTTTAAAAAAAATTCCCAGGGATTTTAGCAAATCCTCCTCTAAATCTCCCCTTCCTGACTACCCCCTCCATACCTACCACCCACTTTAGACAGGGTAAAGGATTATTACAGTGATGGTTTTGTTAAAATTATCAAAACCTTCAATTTGGAGTCTCTGCATTTAAATAAACACTGAAATCTGTAATAGTTACTCATAAAAGGAGTTTCAGGAAGTATATTTGAAAGTTCTGATTCACCGCTTGCCCTAGGATCACTTGTTAAATCGATACTAGTCGTATTTCTAATGCAAATCTCCAAGGGCGGGCCCAGGGAAACCTAAGAAAAACCATACAAATAACTAATGATTTATTACAGCTGGTGCTTCCTTATTGGTTATTTTTGTGATTTCCTATATTTGGATTAAAGGGCATGTGGCAAAATTGTAATTAGGAAAATACTATTTCTTACGGATAGGATGTCAAAAGTAAAAGAAACAAAATCAATCTCCTAGTGTTCTGTTTTCATCTGTAGCTACTCAATTTATAGATTGCACAAATTTAGTCTATATAATCTCATGTTTATCTATCAAAAACCATTTTAAGGGCCTCCCTGGTGGCCTAGAGGTTAAGTCTCAGTGCTATCACTATATCACTGCTGTGTTCAATCCCTGGTCAGGGAGGTGACCCAAAAGGCACAGCAGACCTCTCCTCTCTCTCCCGCTGCTCCCCTCAACATAGTTCAGTAAATCTGCCTGTTCTGCTCCCTACTCTGCCTCTGGTGAATCTTCTCACCACCATTTTTCACCTCTGACCTGCACCCCAGTTCTTCTACACAAAAATAAATAAAACCTTTTAAAATTTCATTTTAAAATATGCATTTCTATTTAAACATATTATTCACTTTGATTTGGTTACATACCGAAGGATTTTGAAAAATTTATGCCAATATTCTCCTTTATTTTTTCCTGATCCTTCTTTGAAAACCCTGTGTCCAACGTGTTTATTTACTTAGCCAAACTCAGGGGAAAAAATGTAAAATGTATAGGGCCTCCCCTGGTGGCACAGCAATTGAGCTCTGGGCTGCAAAGCTGCCAGCAGCCTCTGCAGCTCAGGTTCGATCCCCGGCCACCTGGTGAGGGTCCCACATGGCCGAGGGTCCCACATGACGTGCAGACCTCTCCTGCCATGCCCAGTGCTCCCCTCAGCAGTGTAATTCAGTCCTTCTGCCTGTTCTGCTCCCCACTCTGGCTCTGGTGAATTCTCTCACCCTCCTGCGCTTCTAACTGTACCCAGTGCTTGTATAAATAAATTAATCTTTAAAAAAAATGTAAAATGTATATTTTTTTATTAAGAAAAAATTCTGGGTATATTTACAGAAGCTGGTCATTTGTAGAATGTACCACTACCCACCTATGAGGAATCTCACAAGCTCACCACCTATGAGGAAGCAGCGCCCTGCCTCCTCTTAGTGTTAATATAAGAAAGGAACAAACACTCAGCTTCATTAAATCTGATGACTTGTGGCAAAGTAGCTTTGCAATTCTATGAGCACATTATGCTTGTTTCCAACTCCAAATATGTTTATCAAAGCCAGGTATTAAAAGCCGGCCTTTCATGACTGTGTGGATGAAATTACTGATTGATACGTAAGTGATTTACTATGAATAAATGTATGCCTGTCACTGAGATAAGCAATAAATATTTATTACTTCTCTTGGTTTATCACAAGATAGGAAACATTTAGAAGAGTCTGGTTTGGTGATTGCTCGTTTTTCAAAAAACAATAACAGAAAAGATAAAGTTCAGTAAATCTGAGTTGATGTACTATAGAGCATTCTATTATGTAGATTAGTATTAAATTTTTCCCTGGGGATTATGTTTTGCCCATAGTCTTTATTTTTTCAGTAGTGGTGGAAATTGCAGTTTATGTAAGACATAGGACTTAATCTCCATGCAGGCACCTCATAGATAATATTTTTAAAATATTGAATAATGTGATAATGGGGTATGAGCCATAGAACCATCATAAATGCTCAGTCATCAAATAATTTTCTCTTTATCCAAAAAGTAACTTTCCAATGAGGAGATTTAGCTGGTATGTTTTCAGCAGTCATTGTTGACGTTGGTTTGGAGAGGTATTGGATTCAGAGAGTGGGGTCTTTGGGTTATCTCTGAGAAAAGTTTCTTCAGAGCTCCCCTTTCAGTGGCATGTGGCAAGTTTCCCCATGAGGCAGACACACTTAGTTATATGCAAAATAGCAGGTCTGTTATAAAAAGGTAGGGAAGTCAAGGATGCTTGCACAGACACAAGAGGGCAGAAAGAGCTGCCCCCAAAAGGGACAGATTTGTTAGAAGAGAGGCCTGCATAGTCACAGGCAGGCAGCCTTGGGAGGAGCTGCCTCTGCTGCTTTGCAAAGAGAAAAGGTTGGCAAAGAGAAACACCTGCCCAGTCGCAGGCAGCTAGGAGAGCTGCCTTTTGCCAGTGCAGAGTATGCACTGATACACTTTTCTCTTTGGGAGATGATGTCTTTGTTATGTTTTTATTATGAGATTATGTAGTTATTTTGTTGAAATTAGTCTTCCAACAGAGAGGTGAAGACAATAAGTATGAACCAGTACATCAGCTTTGATTTTGCAAAACAAAACTGTAACTATGTAAATGACATACTATTTTGCTGATTCATGTGGGAGATGCTGGTGACCTAATCTAGAAATGGAAATAGGGTTCCAGATGTAATTGAGTACTATAGTGGTATAGTGATTAAGAGAGGAAATCAGGAATGACACTCAGTGCTTCCATTGATTTACTGTGACGCGAAAGGCAAAAGGAGGTATTAAGAGAAGACCAAATTTTGGTTTATTTTTCAACATGCAAGTTGTAAGAGATCTTTCCTACAATCAAGTGTCTCTATCCAATAGGTGGTTATACATTTGAATCTGGAACTCAGGGTGGAGATAAAGGGTTTGGCATCATCACTATGGATGGCAATTAATTTTTGGCAATTGATTAAATTAGTTAATGAGATAGTATAGAGTGAAAGAGATGAAGGCAACAAAGGATACCAGAAATAAAACTTGAGTATATGTCCTAAAAGAAAGAAAGTTTATGGTAAAATTTTCCCCTTTTATCTTGTGAAAATACTCTTCACTATGTATTTGAACTGAAAACCATGGCTTTTCAGGCCAGTTTTACTAGTAGAAAAAATAGAATATGCATGTCATGGTATGTAATTAGAATAGTGAATACTCCAGTGGTTTGCTCATACCTGATTGCAGAAGCTGAGTAAATTTTCAGCATTTGTACTACTCGGCTCTTAATCAGAGTCATTATTAAAAATTGATTTTATGCACTTACAATTAAATTATACTAAAAGCAAATGAGCTAAATATCAAAACTAATACATCACATTATTATCTGTCTTTTGGATATGTATAGAGTAGATACTGTATAATGGTGTATGCTACTGTATATCTTTTTCCAACTTAATATTGAGTGCCATCATATTTGTACATCGAAATCAGTAATAGGTATGTATACCATAGAAATTAGCAAATATTGTACATTAAAGTCTTCCTAACACCATGAGTTAGCAACATGAGTTAGCAACTCCTGTCTGTCAGTGTGAGGATGGTATGTGTATGTGTATAAGCATTAAGACATGATTACTGGACATTATCAATAATATATATACAATCCCTAATCACATCTCAATTTGTTTTCTGCTGTTATCACAATAAAGCTAGATGAATCATAAGTGTTCAGAAAAGACAAAATAATTATTTAAAAATTGTTCAATTAGCACATTCTGAAAAGCTAATTATGTTTTGTATACATCAACTGTGATATTTTCTAAATTATATTAATTTTACTATAAAATATTAAATTTGACTATATAATTAGAATACATACAGTTCATGAAAGGAAAAAAAAATCAAGAAACATTGCCAAGAGATCTAGGTGAAAAATGTGAATTACTAATACAATGTCTTTACTGTTCAGTTATGTAATGTGGAATTGAAGAGAAACGATTCACTCTATAGTGTGGTGATGAAATTTCTATCAGGCAGGACAAAAAGAGAAGTGAAAAATCGTGGTCATATGGCCCTGGCACAGTGTCATAGATATTTGCAAACTTCCTTCTCTCCTTCTGTCTTCAGGACTGATTTCTCTGTAGGACAGGAGGCTGAGCGACCTAAACTAGAGGCAGGGATTCTAGTCCTCCAAGCCTTGGTCCTCTGCCTGGACCATCCTGTGGAGAGATGGTGTGATCACTGTACTGTGTCTCTGCAGGTCAGATGCCTTACGGGGAATGCTGGGTCTGTCTCCCCACCACAGAGTCATCTGTCTTATGGTCTGTCATTCCCCAGTCACACCTCATGCAGAGAACTGCACAAAATAGAAAAGACTCATTTTGTTGTCGTTGTTGTTCCAAATGTTCCAGCCAAGACCCTGGATGACTCAGGGGGTCTTCAGCCTATACAATCAGGCTGTGCTTTTCATTAAAAAAAAAAAATCTCATAAAATGATTATAAATGCAAGGGAAAATATTTTTTTAAAAAGAGA